TTATTGACTATGCAAAAGCTTTTGGCTTTCGACTTTATGGCTCGTGCCAAGCTATGGAGAACACTGTGAAGACTAGGTATTACAGAACACTTTGTTGTGCTCAAGAAGAACCTAGTCATAGCCCAGGACCAGGAAGCAGTCTTTCAGACAAGGTGCATACTAGGGTTGGATTCTCTCACCATACCTATTCAATCTGTATACTGTATAATAATCAGATAAAATGGATTATTTGAAGAAGAAGCTGGTATCCGGATTAGAGGAATATTCAACAGCAACCTGCAAGATGTAGAAGATATAAATTTGCATGCAGAAAGCAAAGAGGACTTAAAATACTTACTGACCATGACCATGACCAAGACCAAGACTTCGGTATGAGTTGCAATTCAATGTAAAGAAAACAAAATCCACACAACTGAATTAATGAGTAGCATCATGATACGCAAAGAAAAGACTTAAGGTTTCAAAGGCTTCATTTTTCTTGGATCCACAATCAACTCTCAAAAGGCAGCAGTCAGGAGATCAGGCTACACACTGCATTAAGCAAATGTTCTGCACAAAACCTCTTCAACATGTTCAAGAGCAAAATCATCAGTTTCAGGACTAAGATGGGCCTGACCCAAGTAGCGCTGTTTTCAAAAGGCTCACATGCATGGGAAAAATGGACAATGAATAAGGAAGGCTATAGAAGAATTGATGCATTTGTGATACAGTTTTGGGGAAGGATACTAAAAGTACCATGGACTGCCAGAAGAACACACAAATCTGTGTTGGAAGAACTACAGCCAGAATGCTACTTAGAAGCCAGGATGACAAGATTTTCTCTCTCATACTTTGGAAATATTATCAGGAGGGACAATTCCCCTAAAAAGGACATTATGCTCGGTAAAGTGGAGTGTGAGTGAAAAAGAGGAAGACCCCCAATGAGACGGACTGGCACATTGGCAGCAGCAAGGGGCTCAAGCATGGCAGCAATTGTGAGGATGGCTCAGGACTTGGCAGTGTTTCGCTCGGTTGTGCATGAATTCACTATGAATCGGAACCAACTGGAGCGCCTAACAGGGACAAGAGACCTATATATAGCACTAATAATGAAATAGTATCACTTTTAGGTCATAATAAGTGAAGTTCGTTTTTTTATATAATGTAAGGTAATTTTCTGAATCTTCTAAACATTGAATGCTTTATGAAATCTGTCAAACTCACATAAGGACTATAGTCTAAAGGCAATTTCATTAAAACAAGTATATTTCTGCAGATTCCAGTCAATTTTAGCATTTAAAACTCATCCACATAATGAAATGGCAAACCTTCAAATGTAGCCCACAAAAATACACCTCTAATGAATCAGAAAACAGAGTATCATATTTTATCAGATTCATATTTAATCTATACTAAATCATCAAAGATTATAGTTGTTAGTTGGTTGATTAAACTTTACATTGACTTTTTAAAGTTCTATGACACAAAATAATGTAAGGTCAAGATATTACATTTTACCACTTTCTCACATTATATTATCTGGCAAAAGTTGAACTTACTTATGCTTTTCAATTATTTGCATGATTTTAGGTTCCTTCTGAACTTGAAATGAAAGAGCCACATACACTTATTATGACAGGTAAGACTGTACAAGTTTATTTTCTAGTTGATAGGAACACCCCTTTAAAAAAATATATTACTCATAAACAATATAATCTTTGGAAATTATACTTTGTTATCAGTTTTATTTTTCCCTCAATAAAATTTTACTTTTTATCCAATATAAGCAGTATCATTAGCAAGGCAAAAGGTTCTCTTGTTGTTTATGTGCCGTGGAGTCGGTTCCAACTCATAGTGACCCTGTACGGGGTTTCTGAGACTATAAATCTTTATGGGAACAGAACGCCTCATCTTTCTCCCACGGAGCAGCTGGTAGTTTCAAACTGCTGACCTTGCGGTTTGCAGCCCAATTCATAACCACTACGCTACCAGAGTTCCTTAGAATACTGTAAAAGAAAATAAATCACATTTACCTGACCAGAGATGAAGTCCATCAAATCCATAGGAGAACAGGTCATCTCCAACACCGTTTCCACCCCACTCTTCGCCACCTCCGGGGTAGGGAGAGTACCCTTCAGTGGACGCCCAGCCCACTCGGAGGTGTGTTGCTTCAGCTGTCACAAATGGCACCGTGTGGTCCACCATCAGCTCATAGTACCATTTTTTATACTGAGCAGACCCTTCGCTGACGCCCAGAAAAATATTAGGCCTCATGCTTTAAAGAGATAAGTATATCGTATGAGACATTTCCAAACAACCTTCATCACTTTAATATACATTTCACTATACTGATCATTAGTCCTGCCTTTAAAAAATATCATATATTAAATACAAACACAAAAACAAAACAAAACCAATTGCCTACAAGTCACCTCCAACTCATGATGACGCCATGTGTATTAGGTTAGAACTGTGCTTCCTAGGGCTTGAAATGACAGACTTTTCAGAAGATGATCACAAGCCTCTTCCAAGGTGCCTCAGGGTAGACTGAAACTGTCAACTTTTTCATTCATAGCAAAGCAATTAGCCATCTGTACCAGCTTCTTTAAATGCTACAAAATCTTTAACACAACCACTGAGATTGTATGCAGTGATAGCCCACCTTAAAATTACCACTCAGTGAATAGTTTATTTTTTGGACTACTTGGCAATGTCACTCAAGGACCTAGTATTTTTTTCTTACTCTAATATTAATCATATTTAATTCATAAAAGGAGACACTGAGTGCAGTAGAAATCTGCCTGTGCTGAACTTTCTTTTATAGAGGCTCTGCGGTAGAAAGGAGCTGAGGTGACTATCAGCTGTGCTAGTCTTAATGTCTTCTTGTGAACAGAAGAGCTTTTAGTAAGTTCTATGTTGTTGCATTTTACAAGGGAACTTATGGTGCTGGTTATGTGCTGTGAAGTCGGTTCCGATTCATAGTGACCCTGCATAGGGTTTCTGAGGTAGTAAATCTTTACACGAGCAGAAAATCTCCTCTTTTCTCCCACAGAATAGCTGGTAGTTTCACACTGCTGACCTTGAGGTTAGCAGCCCAATTCGTAACCACTATGCTACCAGAGCTCCTTATACTCTTTGGTAATAATAGGATTAGTGAATATCCCAGGAGTCCTGGTGTGGCACTGTGGGTGAATGCGCTGGACTGCAATGTCAGTTTGAATCACAAGGTTGGTAGTCAAGCTCACCAGCCACTCATCAGAAACCCTATACAGGGTAGCTATGAGTTGGAACCGACTCAACAGCACTTAACAACAGCACTCACTCATTAGGATGGCTGGTGTGGCACTGTAGGAGAAGCACTGGACTGTGAACCAAACAGTCAGTGGTTCAAACCCATCAGCTGCTCCTGGGAAACCCTGTACAACATTGCTATGAGTTGGAATTGCCTCGACAACACTTAAGTATCACTCGTTAACAGAAGGCATAGGGAGCCCTGGTGGGCTACAAAGTCCAAGGTCAGAAGGTGACTCCACTAACTGCTCCTTGAGAGAATGAGGAGGCTTTCTGCTCCTCTTATAAATGTTTACAACCTTAGACACAGGATTACTGTTGAGTCGTGCTAACTTGATGGCACACAACCACGAAAATCTCAAATCGATCCTGTTGAACAACACACAGACAAGCAAAGCACAACAGAGAATATTCACCAAACTCGAATTTTAAAAAGTACACAGGATAAAGTATCAAATATTTCCTGGATTGCTGCTAAAGTTACTACTACCATACATAACATGCTGCAAACTGTAAACTTTTCCTGTTTTTTTTTGGAATGAAACTAGAGTTTATGCTGTTTAAGAGCTAAGTCTCTCAAATTAATTAGATTTGGGTTCTATTTGGATGTCTAAATTTTTAATGTATAAAATGTGGAAAATAATATTACCTAGAAAAATACAAGCTTAATGGTATATGTGAGGCACTTAGCATAATCGCTGGCGCAACAGCACTCAGTGAATATTAACTAAAGGTATAATTGCCAGCCTGCTCCAAAAGATGCAAATTATAATCTATCTACATATGAATGCATATTAATGGCATTATGCATTTGTTTGGTGGTAAATACATACTGTTATGATTATACATTTGATTGGTAGAAAAAAATACTCAAAACTATTTCATCAAAATGATGTCAAAGATCCTAATTAGCTTAATAGGCCATCTGATGGCATAGCTATAGAGACAGAACAGGAATTCTTGTGCTGTGCTAAGTATCTGAAGACGCTGTCTCTCTGGATTTACCTGCTGACATGATTCACAAGACGCGTCTGCAATAACAGATCTCTTCCTGGTAGGAGATTGTCACAAATGAGATGCTGGTTAGAACGAACTGCAACTCCATGGCAAACACAGAGTGAACACAAGACATCCAGAACCTGAAAAGGGAGAATATTTTCAGAGGTCTCAGTTTCCCTTTCAAATTCAAGCAATCAGGAACTCTCCAACTACCTAGGACCCAGTCATTTCTTAACACCAATATTCTCAATGATTTTCCTTCCTCCACAAACTGAGAACTCTTCATTCTCCTTTGATGAGATAAACAAACACTAAGTAGCAATACTCAATCATAATTATTAATAGATGAAAAATATCAAAAAAAGTTAACACAATTTTTAAAACATAGTCTTATTTAAAAAACATATTCAAAATGATTTGAGATTTCATTTCATGTCAGTGAAACGGCTCATTACCTTGTGATTTCTTCCATGTTTGTCCAGAAGGGAGATAATGGATTTAATATGTCCTTCTTTGATAATATTTAGAGCTTCTGGACTTTCCACTAACACACAGTGTAAAACTTCAAGAATGCCTACAGATAAAACAATGCAGGGAGAAGAACATTTATGATTAGCCAGTCTGTATGACAAGTTTCTTCCCTCTCTCTATGTGCTGGTCCTTTCTTAAGTGCCAAGTGTTTATGGCCAGGGGCAGTGTGATCAGTAATAGGTCCTGTCTGGGGAGAAGACTGCTATCCAGAGATGATTAACTCAGTCTCAGAAACCCTGTACAGAGATGCTATGAGTCGGAACTGATTGCGTGGCACATAACCACCACCACCAGTGAGAAAATGACACAACAGTGAAATAGTGGTTCACTGAAAAAGCAGGTAAATCTACATGGGAAGGGACTGAAAGAAAAGATCCTTAAGTAAAGCCTTAAATGATATGCTAATGACAATTTTCCAGATAAGCAGAGGGCAGGGCCTTACAGCTAAGTGAAGTCTCCGGGGGAGGGCAAGCTATCTAGAGCACTGGACTGAATAGTCAGTGTGCATGTGTGGTAGAGTGGAAAGGTGGGCTAAACCCAGATTATAAAATCATTTGTCATCAAAGATATAAGCCTGCAGGAATGCATCCCAACCCACCAAGATCATTACAGTCTCCTTAAGGATTTTGTAGTTTGCAAAACAAGATGGAAAAAAAAAATACAAAAATAAATAGAAATATACAAAACCTGGATAATATTAGTAGAAGAGTCCTGATTTAGCATCAGCACTGGAATGCTAACTACAAGATTATCAGTTCAAACTCACCAGCCCTCCTTGGAAATTCTATACAGGGTCGCTATGGGTCTGAATCAACTTGATGACACTTAACAACAACAAAAACCATCACAAAAGATAAAATGTAACCTATCCTTCTTATCTTCAAATTTAAATTGGAATAAATGAAAATCATAAAAATGAAAATGTTTTATCAGATTTTTCTGGCAAGAACTTGAAAACTTAAATGTGTAAATCTGCATTTTTTTCAGACCAGCCTGAATCATCAATAATGAGAATACAGGCCATTCTCAGCAATTAATACAACATTCAGAAAACATGTTCTCTGAGGGCAGTTTTTAGGAATGGCCCCAAAGACCCTTATACAACTCATCTGGAGTCTGCTTTCTTGGTAAGGAATTATACAGTGCTCAGGAGTTAGGAAAGGTGTGGAATACAGAAGGAATTTACTATGGCCATCACAATCTATGGACTCCTGGTTTGGCACTGTAGAATCAGCATTGAACTGCGAACCACAAGGTTGGCAGTTCAAACCATGTATAGGATTTCCTCTGAAATGCTATACAGGGCTGTTATGAGTCAGAACCCACTCTATGGCACTGAACAATCTATAAGACAAACCAGCTCCCTTAGAGTCTATTCCAACTCACAGTGACCCTATGGTGTATCAGAGTAGAACTGGAATCCATAGGGTTTTTAATGGACTATACATCACCTTGTCAAGCTTTTCCTGGGTGAACTTGAATCTCTAACCTTTTGGTTAGCAGTTAATGTATTAATCCTTTGCACCATTCAGAAATCAAAACCTAACTCACTGCCATCGAGTCAACCCCAACTCTTAGCAGCTCTACAAGACAGAGTCGGGCTGCTCCTGTGTGTTCCCAGGACTGTAAATCTTAACTGAAGAAAGCCTCAACTCTTCCATGGAGCAAGTGGTGGGTTTGAACTGCTGACCTCGTGGTTAGCAAATAAACATTTAACCCATATACCATCCAAGGACTCCTAATATACATTATTAAAAACCAACTGCCATCAAGATTATTCCAACTCGTGAGGGCACCATGTATGTCAGAGTAAACTGTGCTCCACAAGATTTTCAAGGGCTGAAGTTTTGGAAGTAGATTGTCAGCGCTTTCTTTCAGGTAGACTCAAAACTTTCAGTCAGAAGCCAATTGCTCATAACCATCATCACCGGACTAATATGTATGGTGAGTCACTTCCAACTCATAGCAACCCTGTACAGGGTTTCTGAGGCTGGAAATCTTTATAGGAGCAGAAAGCCTCATCTTTATCCCTCAGAATGGCTGGTAGTTTCAAACTCCTGACCTTGAGGTTAGCAGCATCATTCCGCCATAGTATAGGGTACAGAATACTAGATCTACTATTTTTGTAAAGAAAATTTTATTAACACATAACTATGCACAGTTGTTTGCATATCAGCTATGGGTAATTTCAAGGTATCATGACAGAATTCAATAATTATAACAGAGACCAACTGTATGGTCCACAGAGTGCAAAATATTTACTATCTGGTCCTTTACAGAAAAAGTTTGCAGAGCCCTGCTATACAGCATATCACTATTAAGAAAAAGGCAAGTAGTTGAAGATAATCAAGAATAAATCCTCTTATTAAGCAATACTTACAAAGGCCTATCACATTCCTAATCTTAGTACTTTAAGTAAAGTGAAAACTAAGCGAACAGCAGAGTCTGAAAATATAATACCAGAAATGGTATCAGAACTGCTGATAAGGAATTTAAAAGAATCCTAACTAGGTAACTTCAATGGTTAGTGAGAAAGAGCAAGAAAATTACAGATGAGATCACAAAAAAAAACATAAGACAAAACCATGGAAAACTCAGAAAACAAATAGACAAAATAGTTGAAAAAAATGGGACCCATACAAAACCAGCAAGTAGAAAGTCAAAAGGTTAATGCTAAGACTTTAAATTTATGTGGGACACTATCAAGAGGAATAACTTACATATGATTAGAATTACAGAAGAGGAAGAGACCAAAAAAGTAACAAAACAAAACAAAACATAGAGAATATTGTCTGAGAGTTGGAAGAAAACTTCTCTAAGATCAAGTAATTCAATATAGATGCCAAAAGAAAAACACCTAGAAATACTCAAACTTTTCAAAACCAAAGATAAGGAAATACTCCTAATAGCAAAGCAGGAAACCCAAAAAGTTATCTGCAAAGGACAACTAATAAGACTAACCTCTGACCTCTCAGCAAATACAAGAAAAAGACAGTAAGACAATGGAATGACATATATAAAACTCTGAAAGAAATAAACGGCAAACAAAGAATCATATATTCAGAAAACTGTCCATCAAATACAACAGTGAAATTCGGTAATTTTCAGATACACAGAAAGTAAAAGAATTGGCAAAGACAGACAAAACTTACAAAAAAATAATAAAGGAATTCTTTGGACCAAGAACTAACAACGGCAAGCAATAGCCTGAGACTAACACATATGACAATATCTCCTAGATTCAACCCAGTTATGGAAATATGCAAAGTAAAACAGAACTACAACACTGAAAACAGACAACCAGAGATACAGTTCCAACAACAACAAAAAAATAAACACAAGAAATAATCTAGTTATAGAAGCTCCAAATAAAGAGGAAATCAAAACAGATTTCAAGATAAAATAAAATAAAAATAAACCTAACTCTAAAACTTAGACCAAAACTTACTCCTAGACCTTGTCCAAACCTTACCTTCAACACTAACCCTAGTTCTAACCATAACCCTAACAATAAATGAAGTCCTAGGTCAAGCCTGGATCTCCACATAGTTTCAACACTAACTACTTACTCATACCCACCCATCCTCGCCACACACACACACACACACACACACACACACACACAAACACAGGCCACAAAATACAAAGACAGCAAGATGAGAATGAGCCACGTGTTCTTCTCTTATCTACCTTATTCTAACAGAAGGCTTTCAAATTTGGGGGTTTCACATTAAAACACCTTTCCCAATTGTACCAGTTCAGAATCAACAAATATTTTAATTCAAAAGGAATGACTTCCAATAATTCTTCTGATGCTGACAATAAGAAAACAAAACAAAGTAAACTGAAAAACTGCTTTCACAGGTGCTTGATAGTGGATAGGGTAGACGTGCAGTGAATTTCTCCGATAGCAGTGCCACAGAATACCAAACAAAGGGGATTCAGGGCAGAGCTCCCAAACTGTGAACCACATATCTAAGAATATTTTAAAAGTTTGAAAGCTTATAGCTAGTGGAACTTATAGCAGAAGTAAGAAATCATCTACTTTAGAATCTGCCAGGCTCAGCAGCCCAGAGCCAACAACTTTGGCGAGACCAAACAGCAGAACCAAGCATGACAGGAAGCAGACCAGCCTAGAAATAACTCCACGGGAACCTCTGAGCAAAGGTGGACAATATACATTGATGGTTTTGCTTTGTTCTGATTTTTTCTGTTTGTTTGTTTTGGTATCTGTTCATTGGCCACTCAAACTTTGTGCACCTCCATTCTGGTGACAAGTGGACACCCCCTACCTCCACCACTGGCGGGTTCTTCTGCAAGGCAAATGCACAGATATGCTCAGCATTTAAAACTACAGGCAGCCAGCTCAAAACGGCCATAGATGGTCCTGAACTGTTTACCAATAGAGAAAAGGACCTAGGAGTGTGGAGAGGGAAAGAGAGTTTAAAAACAAAACAGGCCGAAATTAAATTCTGAAAAACAGCATAAATACCAACAATTTATCAGGTGGCCTTGAAGGTAAGAAGCTGAAAGAGGATATTAAAATCATACACCTATTAGGCTACAGATTTATTTTTCCCCCTTCCTCTCCCTTTTCTGCAATTATAGACTACAGTATCCAATCTAGTTTTTTTGTTGTAGCTATTTTTTTATGTTTTTGTTATTTTACCTTTTGGGGACTCTTTCTCTCCCTATATTACCCAAGAAGAGACAGCAATTGCTGACATTTACTCAAGCTACAATCACACCCTATGAAACCCCACAATCAAGGCAAGAACCAATCCCAACTTCCATATACCAGGGAGGCAGACAACACCTTTAAAGTTACTCTGAATTAAGCAATAAGAAGAGTGAAAACGGAAGCCCACATCCTGATCATATCTACCT